AAGGAAAAATGCATGAAACAAAAATACCAAAATTAGCTGACTGTATCACTTTTCTCCCTCTCCTGAAATAAACTTTTGTCAAAAGTACTTGACTAGAAATGTTAGAATTTTACTTATTAGCGGAGTAAGCAACCAAAAGAGACAAGCCAAAAGCAGGCTAGGAATTTACGACTTAAATTATGCCCTCGCCATTTCAATGCAATTGCAATTTCAAGCAAGGGAAAATGTCTACGCGGTTGGCCTCCAAATTTGGAAAAACGCAAATTGAAAAAGACTTCAGGTAGACATGACCGCAATATTTAACAAAAACTATCGACCTACAGTTGATGTCAACAACCAACACTGCATCGATTTCTATGACGTCACAGGTTTGTAACTCAAAGTCTTCACGACAGAAGAAATATATTTAACTATCCAACACTTCAAGTTTGGTCCAAGTTAGCAAAAGCAACGAAAAATGTAAAACTAACAAGATGAATAGCAACTCAGAGAAGAGAGGAAACAGGAACTTTTCTGAAGCAAGCACATCGAAGAGAAAGATGACGATTCACCTTCCCGGAGCAACGTCGACCAACACCAAATGGGTGTGCCGTTTGACACTTGTTTGTATACCTTTATTAAAATTCATATATTCCGAYCATGAGAAATCCGTGCTATGCATTATACTCCTTTTTCTGAATTTTTCATGACTTAGGTTCATTAGGTTGTACAATGCGATGAGAATATTACGACCTCCAATGTGTAATGAGGAGTGCTATATACCTTGCGTCACTGACTTTGCAAGGTTTTCAGATTTTTTTGTAGCCTGTGGAAATGCAAAGCGATCAATTGTACGTGCAAGGTGATCTGACTGGAACCGTGACAGTTCTATCACGTCGTCGAATGCACCATCGATTTTATTTTACTTTATGTAAAGAGATTTTGGGAAAAGTACCAGTTTCTTTATTTTTGGCACGCCCTATTTGACATACCAATCGTTTAGAGCACTGGGGACGAGTCAAGAGATTTTGGCTGTCAGCGGTATGTTTCCGAGGCTTTCGAACAGTAAACATAGAGAGAGTTGTCAAACAATTTCGCTGCAAAATGGTCAAAGAATTGTTTGAAGTTGCAACCAAGGGGGATATTGAAAGACTCCGAGAGCTTTTTGAGGATCCAGAGAGTATATTTTCCACGGATCCGGCACAAGCATTGAACAAAAGAGACAAAGATGGCAAGTCAGCCCTGGACATAGCAGCCATGTTGGGACGCAAAGAAATTGTTCGAGAACTTCTAGAACGCGGGGCTCAAATCAATAGTCAGACCAAGAAAGGTAATTTATTTAGCCTATGTCAGGAATATACCAGTTATAGAAGGAAAGAAGTATTTTATCCTGGGGTTTGTTTATCACTTAAGTCGTCTTGCTGCTACTAAAAATAGGGGGTCAGCTAGGTAACTTGCAACCATTACGGACTGGAAATCTTGAAATATTTGAAAGCAACCCGGGGTATCGATGCTAAACCTGCAGATTCACTAAAACACATAAAAATCGCACCACATTAAAAGTAATCAAATAATGCTGGTTGCCTTGAGAATACCAAAACTTTTTGATACTTGGATTGGGGATAATCGTTAGACCAGCTGCTGGAATTTGTCTCAGGGACTGGGTGAATTGGCAGCTTTACGTTCAGTACTAAACCCTGGTTCTCATTTGTTGGGAAATTCTCAGGCAGTTTGATATTGTGTTTCTCCTGGTAGCCCAGACGTTCATTATGTTTTCATAAATCAGGAAGTCTGGATTGTTGGGGGTTTTCCTAATAGTAACGTATGTTTCATGCTCGTTCAAATTTTATAGCCAATCAAATTCTCTTACCTGGCTCAAGATAAGAGCATAAAACTAGTACATGTGTAGGGAAATTGTGTCTTGATTCTACAGTAGAACTTACAGGATTAACACAATTTACAGGTTATACAGCCTTGCACAGAGCTGCATCCTGGGGCCATCCTGACTGTCTGAGGGTCTTGGTAACAAATGGAGCAGACCTGCAGATACGAAATGCACATGGCGAGAGAGCCCGAGAAGCAGCAGCCCGTTACAAAAAGGACACCTGTGTGGATTATCTTGACCGAGCAGGTGTGCAGAGACATTTCAAGCTTCAAGTTATGCTATAATAAATTATGTTTGTTCAATTCATCCAGGAACCTTCTAATGCTATCCTAGGGATTTGAAACTAAGTTTATCACTACATGTACTTACCGGGTATGTAAAAAAAAGTCATTACCCTAAACTTTTTTATGATGCATTTTTTTAGAGGCACAACAGGCCCTTTTATCAGTTATAACTGCAACTAAGGAGACAATATCTGATCCTGAGAAGCACATGGGCCGATTCACACGAGAAGACAAGGTTTGTCTGTTAAGCTTTCAAACCTCCTTTGCTAACATCCCCTCGGCCCTTGATTTTTGAAAACCTGTTTACCCACAAACAGTGCTCTTAATAGTTGTAATGTGGACATGTTGATCAATAAGTGAATCAAAATAATTTGCTTGAATGACTCCAGGAATAACTTAAGTGTGACTTGCACAATGCTGTGGAGGAAGATGAGTTAAATCATGCTAGCCTCAGTGAAGATTTATTACACTTGAACCCAATGATATTGGATTTCCAATATTTTAACGGCAAACATTCTCTTTCTTGCGATAGAAAGTAGCCTTAAGAAAGTTTTCAATGGTTTATTTTTAGAGAGCTAACATTTACACAGTTACATGGTCTGCTTGTGTCAGTGGTACAGGAACATAAGCACAGAGAGAGAATTTCTTCTTGCGTATTATCATATGTGATTGTAACATGTTTTTCTAACAGCTGAGTGGAAATCGTTTCTGTGATGAAAAGAATGACTGGTTAGAATCACACAAAGAAAATGCCACTGTTGAAGACATCTACAAGCAGAAAGAAGAACTTGAGGAGCTGTTGAAACCTATCTTAAGCAAACTAGATGAATCAGGTAAAAAGTTAATAATTTGCAATTTATTCTATTTTGGATCAGTTGATAGTTAAGAAATAGTTTAATTAGTGAGAGCAAACAAAAAGTCAATGGTGGAGAAGTGAGGCAGTAATGTTTTGTGCCCGCAGATTAACAAACCCACAGTTTAGAAATTTAACCCCCAGGTTAGCTCTAACTCAGGGTAATTTAACCATCTTTGGAGCAAACTTGCCCTGATCAAGGATTTAGAGGTCAACTTCAAGCTGTACATTAATTCTCTGATCCTAGTAAGGGCTTGAACCCAGGACTCTCAAGAGACCAGTGAGTCAGCCATTAGGTTACTGAACCTCTGACCCAAGGATTAATATCCAGATTTAATAATTTGCTAAATAAATTAATTATGTGGCTGAGAAAGCTAATATCAAAACGATTTCTTACTAGTAATATAACTGATTATCCCAGGTTTGAATGTACCCAAGACAACCAATTCCCGGCGCGTTTCACACTTGCCCAGTACTTCTACTTAGCCAGGTTCACTGGCCAGTGAGGTTGGTAGGACAAAGTTTCAAATTAATGAGATTTTCACCTGGGCACTGTTAAAACTGCACATAAGAGAAATTTATTCACTAAAATGTAAAAGTTCAATTCTTGTTTCATTACCTTCATTCCCTCCATGGGAGGGAAATCTCTGAAAAATATAAGTTTGTTGTTTGTTGCACTATAAATAAAGCACAATTTAAAAATTTATATATTTTGTTGTTCTTAAATACTATTCTTTGCACTGAAAGCTAATAGGTTTAACCCAGACTTTTAACTGTTAGGTTGTTCTTTAACTGTGTGATACAATGTGTGTGACAGCACATAAAATAATTGAGTTATTTTTAGTGAGATTTCGTTGTCTAAAGCTGTTAACTTAATTAATATATTTTCGTCCCCTTCTTGTGCTACTTCTTTCTTATTTTTTAACTTACAATGTAGCAGGCTTTTAATATTCCTTTCATTTGACTCCAAATATTCGTTAGCCCCTCGGCCGATGTAGATTTCGTGTTTATATTTGTTTTCTCTACAAGTATGTGTCATCATTGGCTATCTAGAAATAGCCAGAAACTTTTCAATCATAAATATTATTCTCAATACTACTACTGTTCTACTCGACAGATGAAGACTTCTTTGCCAAAGACGTCAAGAGTGTCAAAAAATAATGCAGAGTGAGAGAACAACACTAAGGAGTCCCAAGTTTTGTTTTTACACTGGAAACTAAAACATTCTCCCTCACTTTCTCACCAGAATTCCATCGCTCAACACCAAAAATGAAACTTTTAACCTACGTTGATAAAAAAGTTCAATCGCTGATGGGATTATCCCCGTTTTTTATGTAAATATGACTTGTGTATATTAGGTTTCTTTTGTCTCCTCCTCCCACCCTAACTCCCCTCACATGATTATAATCCTAGCTTACCGTGTGGCACGAAATTTTTGCAGGTTCCAGTTTTTGCGATTTTTGCGGTTCTTCCATGATCCGCAAAAAAAGAAAGTTCCCGCAAAAATAAAATTCCCGCCAAAATTTACTCCGTTGCGAAATTTTGCATACAAAGGTCACATGTAGAATCTTGTTGCCATTTATTTAAAAAGTCTCTTCCATTCCGAAACAAAACGATGAAATTAGAAACAAAATCTTTAAAAATAGAACGTCCGATGACATTGCCCCTGGTACACTAAAGGTGTAGCTGCAAAAAATTTCCAGAAAAGTATCGTCTGAAGGGACCATCGGTCACACTGGGGCAAAACTGGGGCAAGACGTAATTGTAATAGAGTGGCTGATCACCGAGTTAAGAACGCAAAATTTGATACTCATTTCGAAAAAAAAACAGTCTTTCAAAATCGCAAAAATTAGTCCTTGCAAAATACAAAAATCGCCGATCCACAAAATTTAGATGCCGCAAAAAAATTCGTGCTCCACTCCACCAAATGTAATCTGAACAATCATTGAATAAGCCTAGTGGAGTCAAACTCAATGTAGTGAGGTATAACTGGCGGGTTTTGTATCTGACTAATACCGAAAGCCCTGGGCTTCATAACTGCAGTCCGTAAATCTCTGATTTCTTCATAATTCTCTGCACTGATTTAACTCATAGCTACATAAAACGTTTCTTATGTAGGTAGTTCATTTTTCGGTTGATTTTACGGCCGTGGCTTTACGGAGCCAGTGCAAACGCAAGTAGTAACTAAACAAGATCTTTCGTAGATATTTATGTTTTTGGTCTCAGATGGTCTGCATTAAGGCGGGATTTTGAAGAGGAAATCATTTTTGCAAGAAATTCACACCGCGCTCAGCACCTCGAATCTCCTCTCGATTTAAATGAAAGTTTTTACCCTAACTGCTGCTGGTTGCAAAGAAATTGTCAGAATTGAAGCAAAGATAGTAGCTTTTTGCTATCGTGTGGTGATTTCGAACCCAGTCCGATTTAGAAACAATCGACTATTTCGACTATATAGATCTGTAATTGGCTTTTGCCAGGTCTCGTTCCCAGAGCCCAAGCTTCTTCTGTCCAAGCTCTGATACCGCGCAAAGGAGACAAAGCAGTGGCATGGATATTTTCCGCTTTCTTTGGAGATTGAATTCTCTCTTTCTACTTGTTGTTTATATCAGAAATAAAGATGAACCGTTTACCAAGTTAGATTCTAGAGTTATTCAGGGAGGCCTATGCTAAACTAACACTAGTCTAAATGCGGCTTGAAGAGATTCAGATTCAGGAACTAAAAACATTTGGTATAGTATGCAAGCTTTAATGGAAGTTGAATAAATTTCAGTTCTCATTAGCTATTCTATATCAGCTAGATTCTTTTAATCTGCCGTCAAATCATCATGTGGTGAATCTGAAGTTCCTGTGGCGACACTTTCACTTGAAATAAACGTTGTTTTGGAACAAGCGCGTTAAAAGAGTTGCGAATTACTTGAGCGAAAAGTAACACTGAAATAACTTTATTGTTGTTTTAAAAAACTCCATCTGCATCAACACGTAAACGTTGTTGTGCCGACCTCTATTGACTAGCTTTCAATTCAGTTTCACATAGCGAAAATTAAACAAAAAATTACAACAACAATACAATACAGTAAATACAAGGTATATAGTATTTTGGTTTTGCTTTCCTTGGATTTTCAAGTCTGAACAATATAATTCTACATCCGTCAGTGTCATTTATTTTCTATTGACGTAAGCACTTAGATACATTCAAATTTACAAAACTGAAAACAATGTCCATTCTGAGATTCGGGAGAAAATGCAATTGGAAAACCAAGTCCATTATGATAATGTTTCGGGGTTTCCTACTGTGCCGTGTCGCCCAAGACGATTTAAACAGTATTTTTGAAGTGGAAAACCTTATCACCAAAGCGTCGAAAAAAATATTTACCGCAATAAACCGACAAATCGCCACATTTTAATAATTCTCGTAATACCATTCTTTTCCTGTCGTAAAAAGACACAAACATATAGAACAGAAACAATTCTGGAAATAACCTAGCAAGCGCAAATTAAATTCCAACAAAAAAAATCCTTTCTCCTCTTTATCTGAACACCAAACGATAACAGAATTTCAATTATTATAGATAACAGGGTCAGAGCGAACCCCTAGTTTCAATCCACACAAGGGCGTTAATTGGTTTCTGCCTCGGAGAAATATTTTCACGCTAAATCGACTAAAATTTCTACATGTTTAGCAGGAACCCGTCCGAATTTCCCATCCAAAGTTCCTTCAAACCAATTTTCATCGAGCTTTCCCGTCAGAATAATCATCTGCCCTCCAGAGAAAGAAAGCTCGCCATCTTTTTCCGCCTTGTAATCACTTTTTGCTCGACAGCACGGCTTACTGGTCGCTGTCTCCTCCTTCGGATTGGCGGTGGAATCCGAATCTCCTGCCAAAGGATTCGTGCCTTTGGCGGAAGTCTCCAACTTTCCCTGGTTCGCTTGGCTTTCTTCAGTGGTTGTAGGTTTCGGCAGTGCGCTGGCATTTCCGTTACGACTTGAAGCTTGTACCCTCTTGTTGAGCAACAGCAGCAATCGCTCAAGGGTGTCGGCTGATTTCTTATGGTGCTCCAACATGGCACAAACGAGTTGGCTAAGCTGATGAATTCGCTCTACTTCGTTGCCCATAAGCAGCGTCATCTCCTGTTGGCAAATCGCTTTTGATTCTTCAAATTTATACTGCGCCATTTTAACTTCTTCCACAGCAATCTTATTCCCCTTGCGTTTCTTGCAATCGTAATCAAGCCTGCGACCTTGGAGCTTCTTTCGGTGCTGGGCTATTTCCTTCAGTTGCTTTTCGTCTAATTCATGCAGCGGCACCAGGAAGTTCTCGTGCACTTGCGCGTCCAAGGCATCTCGAGTGTCGGCGACTTCGATTAAAGCGCTGCCGACATCGAGAAGAGCAGAAGCATAATCGGAAAGCTGCGGATCCAGATCGTGCCCTGCCTTCAGCATGATATCACCAAGGGCTCCTTCAGGCTGAGGATATTTCGCTCCTTGTGCCGCCATGTGCATGTAGATCTTGGCGCGGACAGTGGGGTTAGGTTGAAGATATTCCTTTGTTTTACTCAGCAGTTGAGTCACTAGGTTTGTCATCACGTCCGTTTTTCGCTCTAGATCGACAAACTCGTCTTCCATCTTGGTTCCTTCAGCGGATCCCATCTTCTCACTTACGAACTGGTTCGCTTTGTTAATTTGTTTCTTAAACCCTGCCAGCGACATCGTGAATTATCTCTGCGAAAAATCAAAGCCCGCGTTGAAATCAGAGTAGATTGTATTCAGTTGAAAATAAAAACACGCCTGGACGAACTTCGATCGGGGACCAACAAAACCAAGTGCTACAGCTCCGCTGAATCTCTGACCACACAGGCAGATGGTAGCAAATCACTCTACTGCAATACTGTGAACGAATTCATAATTTATCCCCGCAGATTCAATCGATAACTTTGGCCAATTTCATTTTAGCGACTAATAATTTTGTTTATTGCAAACCAATGAAAAGATTTCCGCGGCGGTTCTTCAACCAGGTGTATTTTCAGTACTTCACCGGGTGCCCATCACAATTACTAACAGCTTAATCGAATCGCATCTATCGCAGCCTTTCTATTGTACTGTTGAAACAAAAGCTATGCAAATAAACTCACGGTGTTTGTTTCCGCTACGTATGAAAAACAAAATCAAATCTGAAGAAACGCGTTCAAAATTAACTCACTTATAAACTTCGCCAATAGACCGTCAATTGTAACTCGCAATTTTCTTTCGCTTAATTTCGAGGCTCTAGTTCTTAAATTGCAATTTCCATTGTGCGTAGTTCATTAAAATTTTTAGTTACTTTTCCAAAATTAAGAAATAGGCAAATAAATCGACTTGTTCCCTAAAAATAGACCATAGCTATTGGAAAATTCAAATATGATAATTGGGGTTATCGCGAAAGACTTTTACTGTAGCGATAAAGAAAAATTTTAATACTTCTTAAAGCTGAACTTTGCACGGATCCTAAAGAACATAACGATTTGACACCAATTAGGTTGGATTTAGTTACCTTGAATAAAATATAGTGAACTGGATATGTCAACTAAATTTGCAAATTTGGAAAATCCATGACAATAAGTAACAAGGAGATCAGAGACACAGACTTCAAAGTGATTATCTAGATTTCTATCATTCCCACGGTTTTCATAAGTTTTCATTACTTTTTTACGTCTTCGTATTTACAACAATTAATACAACAGAAATTATTACTCATAAAAACAAATCAAGCAAAAAATTTCTTGTTTTTGATTTTCCCCTCTGCTGGAACATATGAAATCGTTCAATGACATTCTCCAAACAACTCAATACTTTTCTCTTCAAATCACGCAATTTTTTTCAGAGAAATGATTGTGAGATCGTACGTGTACTTCAGAAACATGAACTCTTTTGCTTATCGGGTAGCACTTGGTGGATTTTGTAATCTAATGTAAAAAGAGGCTATCACGTGTCACGTGGTAGGTATTACGTAGTAACTTGCCACGTGATACATCTTGATCTCACCCTCAACATTATTCCCAGGGTTTCTCGTCTTCAGTGTCGGAAGAAAAGAGAACCTGGGATCGAGTACGCATTCACTTGGGGCTATTTCTATTGTAACAATCGTAAACTACTGTGCCACATACTACACATAATGACTACATAAAGCTGTGATGTGTGCTTTCACAAAAACCCCGTATCCTGGTCATTTGTTTGTATCTAAGTTAGCGACAATTCCTAAAGTCTCTAAATGAAGTACCGGCAAATGGTGTCCGGCAAAGGTGGCACCCAAAACCAACCCACATCTGTAGGTCACTCAGAAATAAACGCAAGAGAAAGTAGAGTAAAACAAAAAAATATGTCTTGAGAAAGCGAGCTTATTCCGTTCTAAACCGTAATTATCTCCTAGATCCTGTGATCAAAAGCCATACCG